CAGAGATCAGCTTTGAATCCTCTACCTATTCTGTGAGGATTCTTGGTTATCTTGTGAGGATATCATACTAGTCCCGTCACGATCGCCTGAAGATCACCTAAGGATCATCTGATGAAAGCCTCAGAGTCTGTTACAGATTATCTATGGAGTCCTTGTAGGCCTTATAAGAGTCTTTTCGTAGGTCCAATAAGAATGCTTTGGAGAATCCTTAGCGATGACCTAGAGAAAGCTTAGGGATGTCCCTGAAAACTTTCCGGCTGTAGCCGTGACAGTCTAGAGTCTCTCAAGAGTTTATTTAAAACGCTTGGGAGTCTGTTTCAGAATACGGAAAATTTGAAATGCTTATGCTTTTCCCATAAGAAAGCTTATTAAGATGAAAATTGATTCAGAAAAAAACAAGTGTGGACCGGAGAATAATGATCCATGATTTTCATGTTCTATCTAACATAGATGAACAAATAGACTAAATGTTGGTTGTTTTGCTGAATAAAAGTCAACAGATGTGTCAGAAAATGTCCGCTAAACCGTCTTGCCATACTATACATGGAAAAAAAAATTGAATTCATTGAACGATGGAACATTGATTACGATAAGAGAACCTTCTTTTACATCAAATAGTGAGTTTTGGTCAAGCCGCTTGAGAATACAAAAGTTGAATGATAAATGTTGTTACGGTGTATATCAATGGGATTTCTGCCATGTTAAGTGTTTTCTAAATAAATAAATTTTTAAAAGGACGTACAAGAGAAATTGGAAGAAGTGAGGGGGTGACAATCTAAATGGCTAAGTTTTGAATGTATTTATTTCATGGATTTCCCTTTTGAAGAAAACAACAACTTCACAAATAACAATGTCCCTTAAAAAATATATGAAAAAAGATACAATATTATCTCATGAAGATAGAGAAAGAATCACAATGGCATGTTCTAAACTCTATGCATTTGGCATGCAACATTTCATAGTGTGAAGGGTAATGGTTTTCAGCAGTTATGTCAAACATTAATGGAAGTCGGTTATAAATATGATGAATGAAAAGTTTTTGTACCTTCTACTGTATCTACTTTACCAGATCCTACAAATGTTTCGGGAAGAGTATAGTTCTTGGTAACTGAGTATCGTTTGAAGTTGATTGAAATTTTGAAAGAAGATTTGAATAAAGATAAAACTTATTGCTGTTTCAATTCAACTGGTTATTGGGAAAATCCTTACAGGTGTGACAATTATTTTAGTGCTAATTTTCATTATACAATAGATAAAAAGTCAGTTACATTTATGTTAAACACATCGTTATTTACTGGTTCAAAAAGCAGTGAAAATACTGTTAGAATGATAAAAAATATTGTTGCATTCTATGAAATTGGTCCTGAACAGGTGTATGTTATTTATCTTACACAAAATGGTTCTAATTTTATTTGTCGCCTCAAAAACGAGATGCACTTTTGATTAGGTGTGCATCAGTGCCAGTAACTGGGTCCCAGTCTGACTGGGTACCCAGTCGGACTGGGTACTTAGTCATATGACGTTTATTTCGCTAATCTATCGGTACTTCCCTCTTTTCTAAGGATGTGGGTCTGGAGGTTGGTTTGACGTTGGTATGGGTGTCGTTATTGCCATTCTAACTATTCCCGCATCCAAACAACATCCACACCCATATCTATCCAAACAACACTCACATCCACAAGCCACCCACGCACATCTACACCCTAGCCATACCCACACCCTGAAAACATGAAATTCATTTACAGTATTGTAAATTATAACGATTGATATATAGAAATATATGATTAGCCAATGAATTTAGTATCATAACTTATTTCACTACTTCAACAGCCTAAAAATCACTCTATGGCAATATACTCGAAAAGAAAGTACTACTTGACTAATGGACTAAATATCAAAGGACTCAGTACCCAGTCGGACTGGGTACCCAGTCGGACTGGATACCCAGTCGGACTGGACACCCAGTCGGACTGGACACCCAGTCGGACTGGGCACCCAGTCCGACTGGGACCCAGTTCACCAGTCAGAACTGGGACTGGTGCATCCCTACTTTTGATATATATGTAAGTTAATGTAATAAATTGAATTTCAAAATTTCTCGTTGTTTTACGTCATGGATTAAAGCTCGTATTACAATATTCACTTGGTGAATTATGTCCGAGTGTTGTTTCCATGATAAAAGCATGTAGTGAGCTCGTAGTTCATTCTAAAAACTACGGATTGAATGCATTACTGTCAACGTTATTAAAACAATAGTATGAAACAGGTTGGAATACTATTGATGATATCTTACACATCATCGATATATTCTTCCGATAAGTAGAAGAGATATTGTTTAGTCGAAAAAAACATGTTCTTTATATGAATACAATCGATGAAGGTTTACTCAAAGATTTATCAAATTTATTGTCGTATTTCGCGACAGCAAGTTAGCAGTTGGGTGTATCCATGGGAAGTCGCCAGGTCGATCCGGCGACCACGTCCAAATTCATTGAAACTTTCAGGGTTTGTAGAGCTTTTTGCGCTGATCATTTTGGTCATAAAAGTTTTAGAATTAGACCTTATTTTCGCAAAGATACAGGTCAAATACTATTAGGACTTTTTTGCATTTTTGCAAAAACTCAATGCAATATTTGATAGAAAAATCGATGAAATTCCATTTTTTTTTCGCTCAAATTTTGAAACCAATGAGATATTCAGATTCATCGCGAGAAACTGCATCAGAATTCATAGGAACCAAAACGTTTTTCACGGACTTTTGAGCGGTTCTCTTGTTGACTTAGTGAGGAAGAGTGTTGAAAAAAATCAATCAGAAAACCCGAATTCCCCAGAATGGTGGTAGTACCAGTTCGATAGAGCAGCACTTGCTCTACAACGTGGACTATTTAGTTTTCTCCCCTAGTTCGATTTGGAAAGCAGCGGTCGTCAAAGATACTAAATACAACAATTTTTCAGATTTTTTTACATTTTGACCATTAAAAGTCGATTCTAGTGCCAAATAAACATGATATTCGGAATCAGCATAAAAAACTGCATCGAATACCTTATATTTTAGCCAAATATTTTTTCCACCAAAATTTAACCTGTACCCGGGCAGACAACAAAACGGCAAAAACGGCGTTTAAACATCTCAATATCTCAACTGTTTAAACAGTGTCATTAGTCGCCAAAAACGCGTTTAAACGGTTTATGAAAATTTGAGTTTTAACACGTTTTTAACGTTTAAACGATTGGCATCGTTGAAACTTTAACTGTTTTAACGCGTTTTTGGCGACTAATGACACTGTTTAAACAGTTGAAATAATTTACGTTATAACGCCTCTTAACAATCAAAACGGTGTAATAATAAACTGTTTTATTGCCACTTGAGAATATAGTACAAACCATATAAACGTTCAATATTACTAAATAGAAAACAGTTAATGCATAAAAATTGATGGCCGTTTTAACGAAAAGATTGCTCTCGCGTTATTTATATGAATGCCTATCGTTTTCCACAAATAGTGGTTCCCTGAATCAATCCTCAAATCAAAACTACATTTGCAGACTATCAAGCAATCTCTCTCGGACAAAAGAACCGTTATTTTCCATTTCATTTTTCCATTACTTAATACATTGTATTAAAAAACGTAAATATACCAGCAGATGCAGCCTGAAAAGGACTACAATATACAAAGAACAGCTTATTTTATAGTTGCACTTTTTTCTTTCAAAATGAACAAAATTTTTAAGCACTAATTTTTGACGCTTCGAAAATAACTTTTTGGCACACGACGAATTCGTTATTTTCTTATTTCATCTTTTTATCACTTGATATGCTTTATGAAAAAGAAAACCAAATACATCATAAGATTCAGCGTGAAAAACTGCATCTTATGATGTGTTCGATTTTCTTTTTCATAAAGCATATCAAGTGATAAAAACATGAAATAAGAAAATAGCGAATTCGTCGTGTACCAAAAAGTTATTATTTTTTCGAAGCGTCGAAAATTAGTGCTTAAAAATATTGTTCATTTTGAAAGGAAAAAGTGCAACTATAAATAAGCTGTTCTTTGTATATTGTAGTTCTTTTCCCGCTGCATCTTCTGGTATATTTAGGGTTTTTTAATACAAAGTATTAAGTAATGGAAAAATGAAATGGAAAATAGCGGTTTTTTGTCCGAGGGGGAATTAAGGTCAATTGTGACGACTAAGTAAGGACCTTAATTCAGGGACTTTTTATATCAGATATGTATAAAGAAGTCCCTGAGTTAAAGTTCTTACTTGATCGTCAGAATTGACCTTAATTATTTGATAGTCTACAAATGTCGACCTGATTGAGGAATTGATTCAGAGAGCCACTATTTGTGGAAAATACTAACCTACTATTTATACATCATTCTTCTTTCTTTTTCTCCTCATATTGATATCTTTTGAATCTTATTCCTTGAATCTGCTTTTTTCTCTTTTATAGTTTTGTTATATCAGAATCAATTGGTATTATTCTTTTTTTTTTGTTCATCAAATGTAAGTTGCTTGTGTTTAGTTTAAATACCATCAATTATAAATAGATATTCAAGTATATCGTCTGTCTAGTAAGGAGAAAATAACGACGTAAGGAAGAGAGTGGAGAAAAGAAAACAGTCCTGGAAATTATGCTTTCTTCGGTTAGTCCGATAAATAAAGAGATCATATAAATTTCGTATCGTCTTTTCTCTTGCTGAAGCAGACTGAAACACTGGCCGAGGCAAAAAGAATTATATTTAGTTCTAAGAACAACTACATTTAATACGTATTAGTAAGGGGGATGAAAAAAGGGGGTGCATACACTTTCTCTCTCCGTCCGTCTTCATATACGATAGTACACTATAAATAGTCGCACGATAGAAGCTATAAACGATCATTTCTTTCTATTCCATCTCGTCATCTATTCCTTTATTTTCACTTTACCTTCTGCATCAATTCGGTCATCACTATATTTCGATCTTTAATTCTATCATTCCTTATCATTTGTTTTATTAATGATGGTAACTCGAGCATCTACAAAACATAAACGATTAAATAATACTACGGAAAAAAAAAAGAAATGTAAAGCTTCCCGCTCACCATCTGACAAACCATCACAATCAGTTACTAAACCTCAATCTATTACAACTTCAATTCCTATACACAATAATATTATCGATATGAACGATGGCAGTTCACTCGAAAAAGATCTGTCAGTAACTGACTGTCCAGATCAATCTCAACATGGTAACGACTCTAGGATTAGTATACAATATGTGTTTTCTTTCTGTTTTAGATCGTGCATCTACTCCAAAGAATATAGTTAATTGTGATTCAAAGGAATTAAATATTAAAAAAGGTCCACTCAGCTCCTCAACGATTACTAAAATTTCAACTACACCACATGATGAACTTAATACAGCAGCTGCATACAAAATACTTGAAGCTGCTATTTCAAGTTGTAATCCAATTGTTGAACGAATTTCAAGCATCACTGATCGAAATATATCTTCATTTACGAGTAATGGTGGTTCAGTTGCACTCGATATAGATGATGATCAAGTTACTCTACCACCTTCATTATCACAAGTTACTCCAACAGCAAACCGAATTAATCTTTCTCATAGCTCGTAAGTTATTTATCTTTCAAAATTTTCTGAGATATATAAAAGAGTATCGTTTGCTAATGTGAATTAATACTTTCTAGTCGAGTCAATCGATCTGAACCTCGTACTGATAAACATTTATCACCATCAACACTTGTACGAACTCCTGCTAATCGGTAAATTATGACTAGCCTTAACATTTGGTTATCAATGTATTTATAATCTATTCTAGTATTCCATTATCTTCCAATTCGACAACTCCATCGAATTGTATGAGACAAAAGTAACGTTAACTCTGTCGGTTCTTATTCTATGACCGCTCAATAAAAAATATCTAATTTGTTCTAGAGGTATTCAACATTTTGGTAACAATAAATTTTCTAACATCAATCGAAATACGTATGAATCAGCACAGTAATCTTTCAACCGTTACTCTTCCGTAACCTTCATAGTATAATTATTGTTTAGAAATAATAAACGTTCTTTGGCCAATACTCAACCAGCTTCAACTGATGATAGAACTACAAGTCAATCTACTATTTCACTGTCATCTACAAGCGCACTACTTGAAACAGTACCAGAATATCGAAAACTCAAAAAAGAATTAGAACAGGAACGACAACGATGTAGCATATGGAGTGACGACTATATGAAACTTAAAGCAGAATTTGAAAATTATCGTTCTTCTTCATTTCGTGAGTGCTTCTAACTGTTTTCTCATTTACTGATGATATGTCTTATAGCACGTCCAACTGTGGATGGGTTAAATTTTCTGCTGCAACTGGTGGAAAATTTAACTTCAGACACACCACTTGATTCACGTTCTCCTAGCGAACTTGCTGAAGCAATTGGTTTAACTGAAGAACAACTAATGGAATGTCGTCATAGTAATCCACAACGAGCTGCTTTAACAGTTTTTTCTGAACTATATCCCACGTATAGTGATCGTGCTGAATTAAAAAGCATAAAAACTTTTGCAAAAAAAAAACCAAAATTACTCAATGATATATTTAGTAAGTTAATTTCTTCACCTACCTGAACGATTTTCTAGTTAAACTGGTTCATCTAATACTTTTTTATATAATACAAGGAATTAGTTCATCTGTTCAGCAGGGATGATAAAATTGAAATGAATGAGAATGGAAGAACATGCAAGTGTTCTGACGAGAGAGGCAGAACGAAAAAAAAAATTTCTTTTCTTCCTGTGTCTTTTATAATAGACGACAGAACGAAAAAGAAAAATCGTCGTTGAATGACCGTTCGATGACCTTTCTGTACGTTTCGAAAACAGAACAAGAAAAAGAGAAAGAATGTATCTTTTAAATTAAATTAAAAGAAAAGAAATTATTTATCTTAATATGAACAAAGCGAAAGTACATTGACTTAATTATCTCCTTACTCACACTTACAATCATATAGACATTTTTGCTTTGGATATTCTTTCACTGAGAGACAAATATAATCTAAATATGCAACAATATACATATTATTATCATATAGTGATGTTACTGGAATTGTTTTTGTATTGTTTTATATTTTAGTATTTGCACGTCAATGTAATCCTTCGGTTATTTATTCTATTGACAAAATGCGTGAAGCTCTAGCTGGATCAATTCGTCAAGCTAAACACCAACTTAAACTCGAGAATGTCAAACTGAAATTATCAAATTTTGATAATTATGATAATAATGATGAGAGCGATGGCGAGGAAGAAGTTGGTAATAATAGTTCTATGATGGACGTGCAAGTACAACATCTGAACAATAAGCATTCATGTGAGTGTTCAAATGATGAACAAGATTATCGAATGGATCAATAATAAAGTCTTAATCAATAAATTGTTTAGAATAGTGATTCTGTGTTTACTTGAAACTATTCGATAATCTTATTTTGTTGTAATCTAATCTTCTTTCTTATTGATAGTGAGTTAGGATAGTTTCTGTTTTTTCTTTTTTTTTGCCTTACTGTATAATATCTTGTTATCTAAAACCTTGTCGTAAACACTTTTTTTTACATTCATTTTTTGTTTTTGATGTATATGTGTACATAAATGATCTTTAAAATGTTTTTCTCGCATTTATATCAATTGTAGTTTTGCTCTGCGCTTATGAACACTGGCAAGTTTTGTTAGTGTTCTTTCTTTTTTATTTGGTAGATAGAAATGTTCATTCCTTGGACAGTTGATTGATTTATATTCATATATGAAAAGATATGTAAATAAATAACATATTCTCTTTGAAATAGATAATCTTGTAACTTCGGCAAACATAGCTATTGATTAAATCAGTTGGATCTAAAATATGAAGGTCAAGACGGATACATTTACTCTTAAAAGTTTTTCTCGTCGTTCACAACGAGCAACCTTGTTGAGAACAAGAATGAAAAAGTTTCTTCCGATAAGGAACATTAGGTATTTGACAGTATTTTTTAATTATTGAAAAGAAGTGTATTTTTAGCTCTTCAACAGATTCATCTATAGCACATATTATTAGCTATACTTCTCATCAACCGTTGGTTACGAATCATCGAGTACAACAAATTCTAGCCTATCAACGTAGCATACACGGGCTATTTTCTGGTTTTGGTTCAAGTATTCATCAACATACTATATCATCGTCTATATCTACCAGTACTGTTCGTTCAAACTTTTCAGATCCTCTTGATAAAAATATTGATACGACTCAACAACACATAATCCCATTTGATTCAGAAGATTTAGATGACAATGATGGCGATTGGCAATCAATAGCTTCTGATACGGAAGAAAATGATGATGAACCATCTGACAACAACAAGAAGATGCAATCTGATAGAAATTTTCACAGTCATAAAAGAAGTGGATCCTCCTCGTCATCAACAACATCCACTAGTTCCGGTACAAGTTATGAAGATGAAGAAGAAGACATCAATTCGAATAATACTCGTATGCATACTAGTTTAGAAATTGCTGTACTTCTTTCATTATTTCGACATCGTCATTCATTATCAAAATCTTGTCTCAGCGATATGTGTCGTTTATTACGTCTACTTGGCGTGCCAAATGTCCCTGTTGATTATAGATCGATCTATAAATTAATTAATCCATGTGGTAATTCAATGTTTCAACCGAAACTTACAGTTATTTGTCCTACCTGCCATAGAGTTAGTATGAATATGAAAAAATGTCCGATAACACATTGTACCAGTCATGCCGGCTACATTCGAGCACCGACTGTGAATTATACATTTAAACTTCGTAAACAAATTGAATCTATTTTAGAACGTGTACCTTTGACACGTATTGAAACAAATGATGGTCATATGACTGATGTCATTGATGGACTTGCGCACGCGCATATTCACAC